CTCTTAGTACAAAAAAGTCCAATAAAGATCCATTTAGGGTTTAAGCGCACTTGGCCGAGGCGCTGCGGTCCCTCTAAATCATCACACTAATGACATGATTACTTGTTAGACCATATAAACTGCATGAACGAGGCAAACCACATGAATGAATGCATCTCGGGCACGGCAGTCACAGCACAAACTGTAGCTAATCAAGATTATTTTAAGTAATTTTCGTTTATATAATCGTGAGGGATTAACACTTGGCGCTATGATAATCACATCGGCAAAGAGTCAACGAGATAAGGCTTCTCATCTAACTAGTAATTCGACCAAAAAAACAATCTAACTAGTAAAAGATGAGAATGAACTTTTTCGGGTGTACTAAAAGTGAAGTTTTGTGGAAAAGCCATCCGTAAAAATATCCTTTCTTCCGACCAAATCGTGGTCTGAATGAACATTTATGCAGTTAAAGTCGTTAAAATGGCAAAGTACAAACGGAGAGATGGTGACAAGCCTCTGTACGATCATTCATAATCTTTGGAGACTTTCCTTTCCTTTTCTTTCTATCTGTTTTGTCTTCTAGAGAGGATCAGAAATCTATGCAAACAGAGAGACGGTGTTATTAAGCAACAAGCATGTGATTGACAATGCTGGTGATTTACCTAAACCAGATGATTCTGAATTAGGATTATGAAATACAAATTCAATCCCCTAAAGTCATCCATATTATCAGGTCTTAAAATTTTAGGCGAAGTCTGATCATTCATTCGACTTGATCTTCGGCTTCATAGCCTGCCCAATTGATTTTGTTCGCACGGTCTATACTTTTCAACCGGCAATATGTATATTTACTAACCCGGCTAAAAGTAAAACTATCAACGTCAACGGCGATGAAGGTGAGATTCTCGTTATATGGTTTACACGAAGGGAAAAGTGTTAGAAAAGTACTAAACCAATTTTTGATTTAGTACTTTTCTGACACTTTAATTCAATTTCGAAAGTGTTGTTTTGTACAATTGATTTAGTACTTTTCCGATACTTTAATTCAATTTCGAAAGTATTGTTTTGTACTAGGGATGTTGTACCGTGGAAATTATTGATGAAATAAAAACTAAATAGCCATCTCAATCATGAGCTCAGCTAAATCAACCGGCCACTTCTTTTTACTACACGAGACAAAAAGCGGTTTAGATCAGAGCGAGAATGGTAGATGAAGTTCTCCCTTCGTGGGGCTCTGTGTCACGATAGCGACGTCCAATTGGCTTTTAATTCGGCACCCATGCCGTGCAGAAAAATCATTAGACGAACAAGATTACGAGAGGTTTCGTTCCATGATTGCATGCGTGGAAAGATAATATACGCCGGTGAATGCGCCTCGGCGCTCGAATCTTCTTTCGGTCACGATTATCTTTATACTATCGGCGTACCAAATAAAAGCCGTAAAAGTAACTTCCTTAAAAGACGTGCTTTCTAACATTTGAAGACCTCCAAGACCCAAAAAAAATAAAAAAACATTTGAAGACTTCTCGACCATGTTATTTCTACTTTTGATAAACTAAACTAGTTTCCGGAATGGTTATTAACAAGACCCGATAAAAACGAAAAATATATTATATATATAAATTAGATTTTTGAGAGGCAAGCCGTGTAAACTTTGAAAAATGGAGTTGCATTTTACACGTACGATTATGATGATATTACACTCTATTCCGGGATTGTTACCGGGCAATACGAACCGACACTAACAAGGACGTTGATTCTTTAAGTGGGCAAGTATGTGACGTCCCAAGTCCCAAAATATATGGGAAATGCACATCGAGTGATCAATTAGTTAACACCCCAAATGGTCATCATCTTGCCGAAATGGTGACCGTTGGATTACAAAAGAACCAATCTTGATTGATGATTTAAAACCTTTGAGGTGTTTATGAAATACGACATTTTCTATAGAAGGTACAACAATTTGCACTTGAGTATGAGGTTTTTAGGATGGTACATCGGTCTCTTGAGGGATTATAGAAACCTCCCTTGAATGGTTATTTTGAGTACTCTTTTTGAAAGTTAATTTTAACCCACGTGAAACTGATCAGGTTGTTGCAAATTGGTCATGACCTTGATTACTTCTTTTTTGCCCCCGAAGAGCTTAACAGTTTACTACATTTGCCATTTACACAAAAGGAAACAATCAAATAAAAGACAAAAATAAATAAATAAAGCAAATAAATATTCAATAATGCTAGAGCTAAACCATTTTTCTGGTCAAGAATTACGTTGAATTTCCAACAAAATCTTGCTAGTGTTATCCTCACTCAATGTACTTTTTGTACTCTCTCTTTCAATGTACATATACGATTTTTATTTTTAGCACGTAGTTTAATTCCATAAACAGGTTAATATTTCCTTTCTAAAATTACACGTGCAATTTTTTTTTTAAACTGACGATGTGTGTGTGTGTATATATATATCTCCTCAAGTTGGAATTTTCTAATGAACTTGACAAATAATAGTTAGGTTAATTGAAGTCTCAGGAATGACCCAAAAAGCTGATATGTTATTCTTTTCTTTGGCTTCAAATATCTAACGTGTGTATCCTCTTGTTTGCACCAAAAAATGTTTAGGTTGTCGATATGGATAGACACGTAACTAAGCGTGAATATTGTCAAGCATGTGACCCATATTGATGACCACAAGGATTGATATCAGTATTGACGCACATCGATGATCACTGCCGATCAGTTATCGATATACGGCGACGTATGGCTAATGATGGTCGACAAAGATATCAATGAATGAGACTAGCGAGCTGTCGGGGCATCAAGAGAAAGTTAGACGCATAGCGAGTATCAAGTTGCAGTTACAGGAGGGAAGTTGTTGAAAAAAACAAAGTAATTGACGTCGTGGAGCAATAGGCACACGTTTTTAAAGGAATAACTGTTCAAGGAAAAGATCATGGCATTGTGAGTGTATAGGCGCAGAACTTCCGGAGATGGAGGAACATGAGAACAACCGCTAGAAAACCGCTTTGGAGAGTTATGGTACAACCACTATAAATGCTACCGATCATCTACTAGAAGCCCTTCCCCCTCCCTCCGTTCACAGATCAAATAAATTTACTGTCTTCCAGTTATTTTTACTTCCCTGTATCGTACTTTTATCTTCCAGACTCGCATCGTCGATTAAATTCCGACGTGTTTCTTATCTCTAGTTTCCAAATTCACATCGTCGATTATATTCCGGCATAGCATCTACCCGTTCTCAAGCTTTATCGTCGATTAAATTTCGGCATAATTTATTTACGTTCAGTTCCATTGTAGTGATTGTACTTCCCAAGCCCCGTCGTCGATTAAATTCGGGTACGGTTTATGCTTGAATAGTTCTGTTTGAAGTAAAGTAGTTGATTTCTTCATTTACTTGTGTTATCTTTTGTCCAAAGTCACCACAAAACCCGTCTCCTTTAATTAAAAACCGAAAAATGGCTTTCGGTTCGGTGAAAGATATTTCTGTTGCAAACACCTCTGCAAAACTTCCCATAAGGTCCACTGAGATTTTTCTCTCGGTACAAAAAAGTCTAATTAAAATTGGATTGGGGTTTAAGCGCACTTGGCAGATGCACTACGATCTCTCTAGATCATCACCCTAGTGGCATGGTTACTTGTTAGACCATACAAAACGCGTGAACGAGGCAAACCACATGAACGAATGCATCTCGGGCACGGCAGCCATAGCACAAAGTACAAACCATAGCTGATCGCGATTATGTTATAGTCATTTTCGTTTATACAACCGTCAGTAATTAACAATTGGCAACACCTTTCGCAACACCTTTGCACCTGTCGGGACATCTTTTGTCTTTTCAGGTTCGAGATTTTTGTGTTCGGCTACTCCCTTGTAATTTGTGTGTTGAAAAGTCAATATAATACTTACCTTACCAAAAAAACAATTGGCGCTATGATAAACACGTGGCAACCGATTCATGGGAACAGGATGGTTCCTTCGTGTCCATGGGATTAGTCGAGTTATAAGATTTGAATATTCATTTGAATAGGCAAGAATCTTGGACACAGCTCAAAAGTCTTTGCCGGGCCATTTCTTAAATCTTTGCGAGTCATTCCTTTTCTTTTCTTTTTACCTGTTTTGTGATAAGCAAGTTGCACGGCGGAATTATTGATGAAATAAATTGAATAGCCATCTCAATCAGGATTCGCGTAACTCGACCACCCACTTTCTCTGTCTTGTCATTGCCGCTCATTATTATCCCTATTTATTCTAATACTACATAAGCTTAAAAGCGCTTCAGATCAGAGCGAGAATAGTAGATGAAGTGTTCCCTCCGCGACGGCTTTCGTGACGTTACGCCTTGCTTTTATTCGGTACACTACCGCGGAATTAATCATTACACGAACAAGATTGATGCCCGCATAAGAAATTCATTCTGTTGATAGACGAAAGTTTTCGTTCGCGTGTGAAAAGACAGAGAAATGATTAAATAACGGTCTTTAATCTATTGTAAGATTAACAGCAGATTCTAGATCATAAAAAATAAATAACGAATAATTATAAATTATTGTGGGCTCCATCTTTCTAATAATTTGCGACTCATGATATGGCGTTACTTTCGCGGTGACTCAAAAACTGCTGTGCTAATAAATTCTGGATACGTGTCGGGCTTTGAAATCTTCTTTCCGTCATGATTTTCTTCACACCGTGCGCGTGTAAACTTTAACAAATGGAGGTGCATTCCACACGTTATGTTTTTTCTCTTTTTACATGTTTACGATGATGGTACACTATTCAAGGACTGACAAATGATAAACAATGCTAACGGCCGTTTCTCTTCGTCATTTCAGGGGGGGAATAAGTTGTCCGACCGATGCACCAGATGCTGCATTATACATTCCATGAATATCTACACTCTGCTCAACATCATATCACGTGAACCCTGTCTTTCCCCGACATTGATATCATTTTATATTATGTGCCGATCTATTCCCAAAATTCTTCAAGGAGAACGGTAGATCTCCAAGAGCTCACGGTGAAAACACTTGTGTCCTTCAAAGCCTTCTCTACATAATTGAGACTCTGTGGTTTGGTGAGACATCTCGTGCTCAGGGCGTATGCGACCTACCCAGATTGCACTTCTTATACGTTTTCATCCGTCTATATAACAAGCAGCATACGACGCACCCAAGAAGGTGTCCATTCACAAATATTGGGTCAAATCCCTACCCTAGCAACACAGAGATGATGATTCTCTTCGACAAAGTCCTTGTTCGAGAGATCGCCGCGGCGACTCTCATCTTCCTCATCACCCGATTCTTCGTCAAATCCCTCTTACTTCGCTTGAACTCCCGTAAGCTCCCACCGGGGCCGACAGGGTGGCCGGTCATTGGCGCCCTCCCTCTCTTGGGGAACATGCCCCACGTAGCGCTGGCGAAGATGGCCAAGAAGTACGGGCCGGTGATGTACCTGAAAATGGGCACGTGCGACATGGTCGTGGCGTCGACTCCCGACGCCGCCCGGGCTTTCTTGAAAACCCTAGACATCAACTTCTCCAACAGGCCTCCGAACGCGGGGGCAACCCACTTGGCCTATGACGCGCAGGACATGGTCTTCGCCGACTATGGCTCGAGGTGGAAGTTGCTTAGGAAGCTCAGTAATTTGCACATGCTCGGAGGGAAGGCCCTCGAGGACTGGGCTCACGTCCGGTCGGCCGAGCTAGGGTACATGCTTCAAGCCATGTGCGAGTGCAGCAAGCGAGGCGAGCCGGTGGTGGTGCCGGAGATGTTGACCTATGCCATGGCGAACATGATAGGGCAAGTCATTTTGAGCCGAAGGGTGTTCGTGACGAAGGGCTCCGAGTCTAACGAATTCAAGGACATGGTGGTAGAGCTGATGACAAGCGCAGGTATAGCATTCAACAAACATTCGAAACAAAAACACGAATTCGCTTAGCTATCGCGCGAGTTGTTAATGCTTGAATCTATGATACGCTCACAAAGGTTACCTTACTCTCTTAATTGATGTAGGCTTCTTTAACATCGGCGACTTCATCCCGTCAATTGCGTGGATGGACTTACAAGGGATTGAAGGCGGAATGAAGCGCTTGCACAAGAAATTCGACGTGCTGTTGACGAAGATGATCGAGCAACACTCGGCAACAGCTCACGAGCGTAAAGGGAACCCGGATTTTCTCGATGTTGTCATGGCCAACCGAGATAACCCCGGGGCCGAGAAGCTTACTTTGACCAACATTAAGGCCCTTCTCTTGGTATATATATATATATATGTCTTAAGTGAATTTAACAAAATCTGTTATGTTTATTCTAGGCTTCTTCATCAACTTGTGACACTGTTTAGTACTGATCTCGTTACCTCTTTTTCTAGAATTTGTTCACTGCGGGCACCGATACTTCGTCAAGCGTAATCGAGTGGTCGCTGGCCGAGATGTTGAAGAACCCTAGCATCCTCAAGCGGGCCCATGAAGAGATGGACCGGGTCATCGGGCGGCACCGACGCCTCGAGGAATCCGACCTCGCGAAGCTCCCGTACTTGCAGGCCATATGCAAGGAGACCTTCCGAAAACATCCATCGACACCGTTAAACCTACCGAGAGTCTCGACCGAGGCGTGCCAAGTGAACGGCTACTACATCCCCAAGAACTCGAGGCTCAGCGTGAACATATGGGCGATCGGGCGGGACCCGGACGTGTGGGAGAATCCTCTAGACTTCACCCCGGAGAGGTTCCTGAGCGGGAGGAACGCGAGGATCGACCCGCGCGGGAACGACTTTGAGCTGATCCCGTTCGGGGCCGGGCGGAGGATCTGCGCCGGGACGAGGATGGGGATCGTGCTGGTCGAGTACATACTGGGGACGCTGGTGCACTCGTTCGATTGGAAGTTGCCGGGCGGTGTCAATGAGCTGAACATGGACGAGGCGTTTGGTCTGGCCTTGCAAAAGGCCGTGCCCTTGTCGGCCATCGTCACCCCAAGGCTCTCCGCCAGCGCATACGCATCTTAAAGCCTTTACTCGAAAGCTTTTCCACTACGAGAATCCGACGCTATCATCATATTTTCTTAAAGTACTTCAGGCTCGTGATGGGTCGCTACATGGTCTTCTATGATGAATGCGCTGTAACACTTTCGCTCGTCCTTTGGTATTGGGGTTTCTTTCTTATGCATTTGAATAATAGGGTGTTTTCGAGGCCCGAGGGGGGTTGTCTTTTATTTAATCATCTTTCTCTTGTTGGGGTTCATGTGATTCTGATAGTATGAACTTAGTGTTGTGTATACGTGTGTGCTTCGCCTTGATTACTTCCCCTTAAAACTAGGAGACACTTCTCTCGTGCATGGACGTGCGAATCCCAGAAGGAACCTACACGACCCAGTTACCTTGCTTTGCTTGATGAGTGAGGAGCAATGTTTTGCTTCCCATAACTTAGCTTCAACCAAAAAGGATACATCTGCCAATTAATGAGAGGAATAATTATAAAAAAAAAAAAATCCTAAATCTATTGTATGAATACCAATTCAATCTTAAACCTTTCAATTTTACCAATGTGGTCATAAACTTTTTGAAAATTTGCTAATGCAGTCCTTCCAGCGACTTTTGGCCGGTAATCGCTAACGTGGACGCCGGCCCTCTTACATGGCATAGCTGGCACTATAATGTGGACGATTTTTTTATTTTTATAATTTTTTTTTTCCTTCTTCCTCCGCTGGTCGCCGTGGCCGACAAGGGTCGACCTCACCGATGGAGGAAGAAGGAAATAAACAACAAAGAAAAGAATCAAAAGAAAAAGAAAAGAAAAAATTCAAAAAATTCAAAAAATTTTAGAATTTTTTTTTTAAATGAAAAAAAATTGTTCACATTGTCGCCGGCCATGCCATGTAGGACGACTAGCATCCACGACAGCAATTATCGGCCAAATTTGGCCGGAAGGACTACATTGACGAATCATTAAAAAAGCTTAGGACTAGATTGAGCAAATTCAAAAGGTTAGGGATAGATTGGCCAAATCGAAAGGTTTAGGATTGAATTGGCATCCGATACGATACATCGAAGAATATTTTGGTGATTTTTCCTTTAACCAGATTAATCATCCCGTTTGGGATAACTTATTTGGTGAAAATAAAATGTTATTACCGACTTATCCATCAAAATAAGAGATTGTCCTAATCTCTTCCCAAAAAAAAAAAGAAGGAAAGTTCTCGAATTATCTAAAGAGCCCTTCCTTAAAAAAGGGGCAGCCCGCCCATGCATGGTTTTAAAAAATGTAAGCTGCCCAATATCCATATACTCAAAAGCGAAACGAAAGGTTGAGGGGAAAAGTATCAAAAAAGTCCTAAACCTATTATATTGGTACTAATTTAGTCCTAAATCTTTCAATTGGATCAATTTAGTCCTAAATCTTTTTACATTTGTACGAATTCAGTCCATCCGGCCAATTTAGGCTGAAAATCGCTAGCATGGACGCTGGACGTTCTACGTGGCACGGGCGGCACTGACGTGAATAATTTTTAATATTTTTTTTCTTTTTTTTTATTGCCTTCTCCTTCCTTGGGCCTGTGGCCACAGGTGAGGGCATCGCGGCCCTCGCTGGCTTGGGCGAGGGTTGGACCCTCGCGGCCTGGGCAAGGGCCGCCCGGAATCTGGTGAGGGCTGGGCGAGGCCGCGAGGGTCCAGCCTTCGCTAGATCCAGCGAGGGCCGCCCTCGCCCAGGCTGCGAGGGTCCAGCCCGGCAAGGGTCACGACGACCTCACCTGTGTCCGGTGGCAAGGCCCAAGGAAGGAGAAGGTAGGGAAAAAAAAGGAAAAAAATATTAAAAATTCAAAAAAATCTTAAAAATTGTTCACATTAGCGCCAGTCATGTCACGTAGGAAAACCGGCATCCACATCAACGATTTCCTGCCTAAATTAGCTGGATGGACTGAATTGGTACCAATGTGAAAATGTTTATGACTAAATTAGTTCAATTGAAAGGTTTAGGACCAAATTGGTACCAATGCAATAGGTTTAGGACTTTTTTGGTACTATTCCCAAAGGTTGAGAATTCAACCGAGTACGAGATTATTCCCAAGTGTTTGTTATAATTTGACAACGTTGAACGGAAGTGATAGCGAAAGCGATTGTTACCGCTATTATTATGTCCTTTCCTACGAACGAAGTCAAGGAAAAAGATCCCATCAGCTTAACCTAGTCATGGCCACGGGCCGATTTCGGCCCGGTCAAACCCGGGCCCGGCCCGTTGACCGGGCCCGGCCCGTTGACCGGGCCCGCGGTTTGGAACCGGAACCGGCCCGTTGACCGGGCCCGCGGTTTGGAACCAGCCCGTGCCCTACGGGCCCGGTTCCGGTTCCGAAATTTTGAACCTGCCGGAACCGCGGGTTCGGCCGTTCCAAAAAAAAAAAAAGAAGGCTGCGACATAGCCTGCAGGTGCAGGCCATGTTGCTACTACTGTGGCCCGTTGCCAGGGCAGCCCCTGGCAACGGGCAAAATTTAAAAAAAAAAAAAAAAAACCCTCCCGCAGCAGGGCTACACGTCTGCAGCCCTGCTGCGGGCAAATTTAAAAAAAAAAAAAAAAAACCCGCGGCGGGGCACCGCACGCGAGCCTGCTTGCGGGCGGTGGGCTTGCGCCTTGCGGCCCGTTGCCAGGGCAGCCTTTAGGCTGCCCTGGCAACGGCCAAGGCCAACGCCCAAACGGGCAAAAATTTATAAAAAAAAAAAAAGATAACCGTTGCAAAATTGCAGCGATTATCTTTTCTTTTTGTTTAATCCTAAATTTTCTTCTCATTTTTTTCTTATAAATTCTCTCAAATTCTCTCAATACTCACAATTCTCTCAAATTCTCTTCTCTCAAGTCTCAAATTTTCTCAATACTCGAAATTCTGTCAAATTCTCTTAAATTCTCTCAATTTTCTCAATCCACGCAATTCTTTCTTAATTCTCCCAATTAATCCGCTCAATTCTCTCAATCCACTCAAAAAATGGCAAGTGGAGGTCGAGTGCCAACGGGCAAAGGTAAGAATATCATGACGGAATCCCATCATTCTTTTGATCCTCGTGAATATGCAGATTTTCAAAATGATGAAATCAACATTTTTCCCGATGTGGAGCGCGTCCCGACGCAAGAAAGTTTTCATCCTCCTGCCGAAATATCTACAACAAAGGAAGCGGAACGGGAATTTACATCTGACATTTGGAATCACTTCACGAAAATGGAAAGGTTTGATATTGGTAAAAAAAGGTATGATATAATTTGTAAATATTGTGGGAAAATATATAAATATACAGGTGGACAAGGATATGGAACATTTAAACGACATCTTAGGAGCAAACATCCAACCGAAACGGGAATCGATATCGGGCAACAACAAATTTCCGGGTACGTCAATCCTAACACTTCCCCTTTATTTCGTTTTAATGAAAAAACTTATAAGGAAGAATTAGGCAAATTTATTTCCGTTAAGCATTTAGCATTTAATTTTGGAGAAAGATTTGGTTTTAATGAATTTGTACAAAAAGCATGTGCTCCACAAGCAAAACGTGTTCCTAGAAATTCAACTAAACGAGTAATTAAAGATCTTTACAAAAATGGAAAAAAAGATTTACAAAACTTTTTTATGCAATTTAATGGATGCGTGCATATAGGTAGTGATATTTGGAGTGATCATTGGCAAAATCATTCTTACATGGGCATAACATGTCATTGGATAGATGACGAGTGGAGTATTCAAAAAAGAGTTATTGCTTTTAGAGTTTTCGATGATAAGCATACGGCAAATAATATTTATAGAATAATTAGGCAAGTTTTAGAAGAATATTATTTGCTTAACAAAATTTTTTCAATTGATTTTGATATTGCCGCAGCAAATACCGCTTCAATTGCCGATTTAGAAAATATTTGTAAACCCGCTTTTGGCGGAAAAATTTTTCACGTTAGATGTACTTGTCATGTTTTAAATTTATGTGTACAAGATGGTTTGAAAACTCTTGATATTTTTCTTCAACCAATAAAAACGGCGATTCAATTTTTATGGAAACATCTCCAAAAAATGAAAGAATGGGGTAGATTTTGTAGAGAAAGTGGCAAAAAGCCAAAAAGATTTCCAAGAGATGTTCCAACTCGTTGGAATTCTACTTTCCACTTGCTTAGTGAATCTTTAGCATATAAAGATTTATTATGTGCATTCATTTCTAATAATATATCTCAGATTAATTTATACCCACAAGAGTGGGATATTTGCCAAAAAATTTTAGATGTTTTAAAGGTTTTTAATGATGCAACTTATACTTTGTCCGGTGTTTATTATCCTACTACACATTTATTTTTAGTAGAGTGTACTAATATTGTCGAAATTTTTTATGAATATGAAAATGATGTTGAATTACAACATACTATAGTTGCAATGAAAATGAAGTGGCTACATTATTATAGCGAAATTCCCATTATTTATTTAGTTGCTTGTGTTTTTGATCCGCGTTGCAAATTGGATGGCTTAAATGATTTTTTGCGTACGTATTATCAATGTTTACATTATGATGTGATAAATGTTACAACCATAGTACGTGAGGTTAAAAACGTAGTAATAGAAATATATAATGAATTTTATACTAAATGTAATTTAGGTGATATTGGATCTTCTCAATCTACGGAGATACAAAATGACAGTACAGGTAAAATTAGTAGAGGGTACCAACTTTTATTACATAGACAAAAAAAACAAAAGGGAGTAATAGGAAATATTTCTGAATTAGAGATTTATCTAACCGTTTCATTTGAGTTTACTGAATCCGAAGGTGGTACAGATTTTTTAATTTTGGATTGGTGGAAGAGGCACGCAAGCCAATACCCAATCCTTTCTCTTATTGCAAAACAGATTTTTTCAACCCCTTGTTCCACAGTTGCGGTCGAACAAGCATTCAGTGCCGGAGGTAATATTTTGGACGAACATCGTTCAAGATTAGCTCCAGAATCAGTGGAGATTCAAGCTTGTGTTGCTGATTGGACGAAGGCTCAATACCGGCAACAAAAGATAGATCGGAATAATGAATCCGAATTCTTTAACGACGGAGATACTACCGCTACCGGTACCGGTACTGGAACGGGTAGTGACGATTGAGAATAAAAGAACTATTGGAGTTGACAAATATTTCGGGAACCCTTGTTTCTCATACCGAGTACACCCACGTGAGCTTAGGGAAACCGAAGTATAATCCGACGACATGTGACCTTTGGTCCCCTGCGCACGGAATGCTTAGGTTTTGGGATCATTTTAGGGCATATATATTGTGCTCCTTTTTTTTATAGATTGTTGTAACGAATTGTAATGTGCTTAATGATAATTTATTAAGTTCAAGCCCTTTCTTTCTCTCTTGTTTTTTTGTCCCCAAATTTGATTACAATTTATATTGAATAATGTTCCGTCACCGGAACAGTAATTTTTTAATTTTTTTATTATTTTCTTTTCTGTTTTTCCTTTTCTGTTTTTTTTCTTTTCCTTTTCCTTTTCTTTTTTTTTCTTTTCTTCCTCCGCCGGCCATAGCCGGGGCCGGCGGAGGTCGCCGGCCTCGAGGCGAGGCCGCCCTCGCCGGCGTCGGGCGAGGGCCGCCCTCGCCCGGGCCGGGCGAGGCCGGCCTCGCCAGATCGGGCGAGGGCTCGACCTCGCCGGCAACCGGCGAGGCCGGCCTCGCCCGACGCCCGACGAGGTCGAGCCTCGCCAGGATCTAGCGAGGGTTCGACCTCGCCGGCGTCAGCGGGCCGGCCTCGCCCGGTGCGAGCGAGGTCGAGCCTCGCCAGCGTCGGGCGAGGCCGACCTCGCCTCGCAACCGGGCGAGGACGGCCTCGCCGGATCTAGGCGAGGGTTCGACCTCGCGGGCCTCGGGAGACCGGCCTCGCCGGCGTTGGGCGAGGCCGGCCTCGCCAGTTGCAAGCGAGGTCGGCCTCGCCCGATGCCGGCGAGGTCGAGCCCTCGCCCGACGCCGGCGAGGGTGGCCTCGCCTGAGGCCGGCGACCTCCGCCGGCCCGGCTATGGCCGGCGGAGGAAGAAAAGAAAAAAAAAAGAAAAGGAAAAGAAAAAGAAAAAAAAACAGAAAAGAAAAATTATGAACCGTCCCGGAACCTGTTCCGAACCTGAACCGGAATCGGAACCGGCCGGTTCCGATTCCGGTTCATACTTGGCCACGAACCGGAACTGCCGGTTCAGAACCGGAACCGGTCGGTTCCGAACCGTGGCCATGACTAGCTCAACCTAATCCTAAAGTATAATCTTACGCACAAGACGACATAATGTTAACGTGTCCCATTTCTTTTTCCATTTTTAAGAAATAACAACAATAATAATAATAATAATAAAGAAACGACGTGGCAAAATTCTTGGGACGGTCGGATATATGACCCCGGCTGATCGAATAAGTTGTGGTGATTTATTACGCGCTTAACGAGCAATTTTTTTTATGAACTGGCCTCGAGGATCTCAGCATTTTGTCGGCTATTGCGCGCTTCGTGCGGATGAATGATTCTTGAAGCATTGTATCGCTCAAAACACGTCACATTGTCTGTGAGGAGTCTCGATATCTGATGAAGCGAGGCATCTCGTACATCGAATAGTACTGAAAAGAAGACTTTTTTCTCACGCACGTTCGTACTCGTAAGCAGAAAAATATATAATTTACAAGATCCTAGAACTCCTGAAAGTGAGCAAGGGTCTCGAGTCGTCGTCATATCAGAACTTGAGCCCGGATCACACCTGGCTTCGATAAAACCGAATTGGGGCTCTCGGGCACGGGAAGCAACCGATACTATATTTATCAAATAAAGGACAAACATACTGCCTCTTGCCAATACGTGTAAGCATGGAATCGCATGGACGGTTCACATGCCGGGAGCCTTACGGAGGCCCGATCTTGTCAAATTATATATATAATGGGGTTGACCGCCAATGAGATGGGAGCAAGCAACACCAGCTCTCGAAACACTGCGGTTGCGTTTGGAGGATGCGGGATAAATCCTCTCGATGGGCCGCTAGAACGAAGACGGCCCCCCAAGGAGGACAAGCTCGTTAAAATTCGAGTAGGCTTTCCTCGTGCATGGTCGAAATCACGACCACAGCAGACGGATTTTAAGAAGATGGTGTCCTGAACAACGACGCCCATGCGCTCACCAGCATCCGAAAGAGGGGGTCCCGAGGAAGACGACTGGCTATAATCTTCTTCCTCCTTGCTGATATGTTTTGCTCGGTCTCATGTCGCGCCGCATCATCACTAACCCTCTAACCAATCACAAAGTACAAAAGTACTAGGAAGATCGATTAGAAGATGTACCATTTCGTGTTTCGTCGTTAGTTGGGTAAAAGTTCGAAGTGGTCTTTCGCGAGCAACCTAAGAATCTCCCGACCATAGATACGAATTGGGTCATGGAGCAGCCACATTTTCACTAGACCATTTTTTTTTTTTGGTAAGGTTCACTAGACCATTTTGTGTTCATAGGATTAAAAAGTAAACTGTAACAAACTCGACTGTACTTCAATATACCAAAATTGATAGAACCGCTTTCAAAAGCTAGCGAGCACAAGCTACAAGCCAATTGGATGGCTTGTGTCTTCACGATTGGGATTACAACTTTCCACCATGCTTTCGCAATCTTAAAGTTCGCTCTAAGCTTGACGTGCACTAGCTTTTCGCTAATCTCAGGCGAACATCACGTTACCAGGACCGGCACGAAATGATCGTGATCAAGAGACAGCATTTTTGCACTAGCCATTCACCGGATCGACCTGGTTTTGGTTTCCGTTGGGATAATTTAATCCGTTATTGTGATTTTTTAGCGTCATTAGAAAGGGCTTTAGCCAATGAAAAACTCGAATCATATGCGTAGATAACTAAGAAGTACCCAGAGATGTATACTTGAGGGCCACGGTGAACACTTTCCGTGTACTTGAAACCATGTTTCCGTCGGACATTTAAGCCAGACTACTTCTTGTATGCTCCATTTTCTTTCGCCGTAGGAGGTGGCTTAGACAGGGACAGAGAATGTCGAGGAACAAAATAACTTTAAGCAAGCAGACGAGAAACCCTGACAAGAGTAAAAAAAAAGGCCAGAAAGGAAGACAAGAAACACGCAGACAAAAGAGCTTTGGAACTCTGCTGCTACGGTAAGCTGCAAATGAAAATGAAAGCTTCGTTCTAAAAAATAACTGAAAGAAAGGAAAAATGAAGAGATTTAAGGCAGAGAGAAACGAAACTTTTATACCAGCAGCAATTCATATGATCTCAAGTAATCAAATTGATAATTCAGGAAACAATATGGAAGGCCGACAAATGTTGGCAAAAGCGTACTCTAGAAACGCTCCGGACTTCATCTTTCTTCTTTCCAACTGTAAAATGGTTTTTAGATAATCTGAATTGTTTATTCTGTATGACCATGATAAATCCGAGTTTTTTTTTTCACTTGCACGGGGTGAATTCAAGTTAAAAAAGAGGGTTTGACACATCCATTCGCCACCTCTATAAATCTCTGGACACGAATTCTTGAACACAAACCTAGATACAGATGGTATTCACAGGGGGTATAATGGGTCGGGATGAAGGCTTGATGTTTAGGGAACACGTTCGTTTGCTTACTTACAAATTTCAGCAAGCTACCCATGCTCAGAGGCAATGCTCTTAGATACTGGGCTCTGATTGGAAGGATCTTATCTATGTTCCCTCAATGATAAATCATAGATTCAACTACTGAACTGAAACATTGCGCGATATCATATAGCTTCATATCAGTCAAGTCAATGAGTAGGAGGATTTCAACAAGTATATCAAATAAATGGCTATGCTACATTCCTAGTAAGTCAACTGACTGTGAATGGCAATTGAAAGGGGGCACGGATGTGTGGTAGGATCCCCCAGAACTCATCCTGGAAAGAATCACCACTTGAAAGAATGAGAATTACATCACTACATGAACGGCTTTGAGTTGCAAACCCACAACATCTACATGTTCTGATAAGGATGATAATTACATCTAAAACTCCCGAGGTATTCTTATCAATGAGTTGATTCAGTAGACTAGGTTCCTTGGAGAAACCAGTAAAAATTTTCGGCCAAGATCAAACAGAATGAGCTCATAAAAAATGAGCTTTCCAGGAAACTTGTATACCAAAAACAGAACCATAAGATTCGCAAACATCCACCTAGACTGCCTAACAGTACATTACTCCAAGTACCTTCGTAAAAATGGCAATTCCCCACTTCAAACCCTAAAACGACAGTAGCAGGACAGCTCCAACAAACAACTCTCGACAATGTTAGCCAAGCACACATTCAAGATCATTTAACAACCAAAAGGGAATCACTGCAAAGAAGCCCCTACAAAATCCGCTTCTCTGGCTGGTGTTGAATCTCTAAATCTTTCACAATACTCTCACTAGCACACAACAGATCAACTACCTATTACAACCACTATGGTAAGACATTGATCTCATCTGTAATTCTAGCATAGAGTCGGTGAATAAGCAATCTGGACAATGCAGATCCTCCTGCAGAAGCAAGACGCTGCATATAACCTCGCAGCACCCATTATCTTCTTTCACTGACAGACACAAATTGAAATCATAAATTGTCTAGTTCTCAGCTCTTATACACATTCCAACGTAAAGCAATCTCTGTGACACATGACACAGATTGGCTCCTAGCAGCAAATATATCTGCATCTACACAGCTTACACCCTTACTCTATTGAATTCAGGAAAATTTAAACTTCTCAGCATTAGCACAGTGCAGCGCGGCAGTTTACAATGAGCAATCACTCGATAAATCGCTTCATCGAGACGTCACTAGTGAATTCTTTCAGAGAATTTCAACATATCGTTCAAATGCACAGACATTAGCTAAACCACGACCACCAGAATTCGCATATCCACAGAAAAAGTCAAATGAGGGGCTTCATTGCATAATCTGTCATACATCTACACCAATTCACACCACAAAACATGCCGATACTAATGGTAATTTTACACATCGAAAGCCTCCTAACACTGCCAAGAAAAACCGCGCAATTCAGGATTGAAGTCTACTTATCTTTGGTGGAGACCCCGTACTTCTCCTGCATCTTGGCGAGCTCCTCCTCCTTCTTCTTCTGGTCGAACTTCTTGTTCATCTTCGCCGGCTGGTAGTAGAGCACGATCAGGTACCGGTTCGCGACGTTGAACCCGGAGAGGTGGTCGACGGCGGTCTTGGCGTCGTAGATGTCCTCGTAGACGACGAACGCCGTGCCGCGGGTGTCCTTGCTGGTGCCGATGCGGATCTGTCGGATCGCGCCGTACTTGCCGAAGATGTCGTACATCTCCTCGCTCGTGATGTTGAACGGCAGGTTGCGGACGTACAGGGCCCGGTTCACCTCCGGGGGCAGCCGCGCGTTGCCCTTGCGGAGGGTGATCGTCGTCATCGGATTCGTGGGGCGGAGGCCGGTCGATTGGGGGCCGGCGGGGCTCGAGAAAGTGCGGGAAAAGCGTTAGGGTTTGGCTTTTGGGAAAATTGGCAGGTTGCGGAGGAGAGAGAGGCGATTTTCCTAGGTAGCCACCGAGTCGGTGCGAACTCGGGCCGGGTCGGAGGGATTGGTGCGCTGGTGGATCCGGGCCGGGCCCCGGCCGGTTAGAGACAAGAAGGTATCTATGTATTTTCCAGGGGTAATCGGTTGCCGTCCCGAAACTCAGAACCAACCCGATCAGGATTGGTTTTTAGCGTGTGGAAGTGGGAACCGACCCCATCTAATCGAACTTGGTAAATGAGGGTGTTCTGTCTTTTTATGTGGTCCGAGATGTTTCTGGGTATTCTATTCACACGGTAATTAGTATTCAAAATTTGTACGTTCTAATATAAGTGATTGTAACTGGAAAATTACTTACGAATTATGCTCTTTTTTTCCGCTCACGACATGAACTAAAAGTTTATTAGGAATATTAATGATATAATACTAGAAATGTAGAAACTATATGAAACTGAAAAAAAAATCTGGGGCGGGCTGGGCCATTTTAGGCTACACATAGTGAAGCCCGAAATCATGGCCATTTCAATGTTTTAACTTGAAGATGTGCAAATGTGCGTCACTTGTTGATCATATCGATGAATTTAATGTTATCATTAGTCAATTAAATTCAGTTGAGATTGACTTTGAAAATAAAGTACGTGTTTTGGTTTTATTATTCTCATTGCCTGATGTTGGAATATTTTTCATAAACGCACCGACTACACAAAAATAAATTATCATTTCATCCGATATTACCTTCTTCATGGCTCTATTCGACTTGATTTTACTTCATCCGTTGAACAGATGGTTGATGTCTTCACCAATACACATCCACCTGGGCGTTCTCTAAATCTATTCTCTAAACTTAAGTTGACATCTTTCAAACATCTTAAGTTTGAGGGGGATGTTAGGGACATATTTAGGATATTCTGTGATTCTATATATTTCTCTTGATTGGTCTTGCTTGATTGTATTTAATAATTTGTTACTTTAGATAGCCATTATATAAAATATATAAAATAGGCTCATATATTCTTCACTTGGTAATTATTTTTCTCTCTTTTATCACAAATGTCAGCTAGATTAATCGCTTCTCTATCATACATTTCTTTCATTCCTCTTCTTGACTGCTTTAAACTAGTTGTAGAATCATACAAATGGTAGTAGAACACGTGATGTTTTTCGTAATAGATTGTCATATTGCTCGATGAGACCTTGGTTTGGTGAGAAGTCAGTGTTCATGCGACCCACCAAGATTAATTATTTCTTCCTCCATCTACAATCCTGTCTATCCATCTCGTTATATATCTATAAATTCATAGTATGCTCATTCTCATACAGCATACTACACACTAAGAAGCGTCGACTCTCTTCACAAATTTAGGAGTCGAATCCCAACGTTGGCAACACAAAGATGATCATTCTCCGCGACGAAATCCTGCTCTGGGAGATCGCCTCGGCGGCTCTCCTCTTCCTCATCACCTGCTTCTTTTTTAGGTCCCTCCTACTTCGCTTGAACCCCCGTCAGGTCCCGCCGGGGCCGAAAGGGTGGCCGGTCGTCGGCGTGCTCCCGCTCATGGGGAACATGCCCCATGCAACCCTAGCGAAGATGGCCAAGAAGTATGGGCCGATGATGTACCTGAAAATGGGCTCGCGGGACATGGTCGTGGCGTCGACCCCCGATGCTGCCCGAGCTTTCTTGAAAACCTTAGACCTAAACTTCTCCAATAGGCCTCTAGATCTGGGTGCAGTCCAAATGACCTATAATGGTCAGGACATGGTCTTCACCGACTATGGCCCGAGGTGGAAGTTGCTTAGGAAGCTGAGTAATTTTCACATGCTCGGATGGAAGGCCCTCGAGGACTGGGCTAATGCTTGGTCGGCCGAGCTACAGTACACGGTCAGATTCATGTGCGAGTGTGGCGAGCGAGGTGAGCCGGTGGTGGTGCTGGAGATGTTGACCTATGCCATGTCGAACATGATGGGGCAAGTCGTCGTAAGCCGAACGGTGTTCGAGAAGAAGGGCTTCGAGTCGAAGGAATTCAGAGACATGGTGGTAGAGTTTATGGGAAGCGCAGGTATCAGGGGATTCAGCGAACATTCGAAACAAAACCCGTATATGCTTAGCGATCGCAACAAGCTGTTAATGCCAGAGTCTATGGCACGCTCACAGGGGTTACCATTTTCACTTGATTGATGTAGGGTACTTCAACATCGGTGACTTCATCCCGTCAGTTGCCTGCATGGATTTACAAGGGATTGAAGGCAGAATGAAGCGCTTGCACCAGAAATTCGACGCGCTGTTGACGAAGATGATCGAGCAGCACTCAGTATCTGCTCATGAGCGTAAAGGAAAACCTGATTTCCTCGATGTTCTCCTAGCCAACAGAGAGAACTCCGAGGGCGAGAAACTTAGTTTGATCAACACTAAGGCTCTTCTCTTGGCATATGCATGTGTCACGGGTCGATCGATCTAGCGTTCCCACACCCGTGCGGCCTTAGGAATTTCTCCTCAAGTAAGCCTTCCCATACTCACACTCACAAAAACTTTAGAGAGAGAAACTCTAGAGAGAGAAGCTCTCAACTTTGTATTGCTTCTTGAAAATGAGAGATGATAAAATGAGGGGGAGGAGACCCCATTATATACAAGTATCGGGCTGACCGTATCCGTAGATCTCACCCCGATCTCAACGGTCGAGATCGTACTCCCCCAACTACCCCACCTACCGCATTTATTACGGAATGGTACAATTATTGTATCGCCCGCCCCCAGGAGTATTATAGAAGACATCAAGAAAACCCTAGTACTAGAACACTCGGGGCCCGCCTTCTCGTCCAAGGGTGGTCGGTCACGATCCATCGTCCAGAAAACCTCAGGAACGATCTAATTCTTTGAGCCGTGACATTCTCCCCCACCAACACCCTTGTCCCTCGGTCAGGTGTCCGGCTTGCTTACGGGAGTCGATTTGTACTCCACCAAGGCCTCGGCCACGGACATGGCCGTTGAAAGGTCTTTCGCGTTGCATCGCTTTAACTCTTGCTTAACCCATGGTTTCAAGCCACCCATGAATTGGTGGTAGGCCTCCGTATCATTCATGGTTGGAATTTGGAGTAGCAACTCTGAGAACTTCCGGACATAATCACGGACACCTCCTTTTTGCTCAAGGCGACGGAGTTCATCTCGAGCTTCTTCCTCCGCATAAGCGGGATAGTATTGTCGTCGGAATTCCTCGACGAACAATTCCCATGTAGTGATCGGTTCACCACTCCGATCGTCACTCCTACGACGCCACCATAAGAGTGCATTATCAGACAAGTACATAGCCGCGGTACTTACCCGAATCGCCCCGTCGGTGATCCCCATCGCTAGGAAATACTGCTCCATGTACCATAGGAAGTTGTCCACGTCCTTGGCCACCCGTGAGCCTTCGAACTCCTTTGGCTTCGGGGCGTCCACTCGTGGACTAGCTTGCATGGTGATCACCCCGTTCACGCGTGCTCCTTCCATTTCGGCGACTTTCGCCTTAAGTTCGGCCATCTCCGCGCGCATGGCCTCCACCAAGGCATCCAAGGCATCGTCCCATTGCTGAAGTTCATTGGTGGTGTCGGTCAGGTTGCCCAACATCTCCCCTCGGAGTTCTCCGAACCCGAACTTGAGCTCTAGCACCTCGGCCTCAAGCTCCCCTATTCCGGTCTCACCTCCTTCGATGCGTGCGGACATATCCTCGACCATTCCTTGGACGTCTGCCATGGCGATCTCCACCTTCGCCATGCGGGTCTCCAAGTCACCAACCATATCCCTCAAACTTGAGCTAGCACGGTCCTTCTTCGCCTTGGCACCTTGCTTCTCGGGAGCCCTCCCACGATCATCGCCTCCACCCTTCTCGGTTTGGGATGATACATCGGATCGTGGTTCCGTCGCGCCTCTACCCATCGTTGCTCTGATACCACTTGTCACGGGTCGATCGATCTAGCGTTCCCACACCCGTGCGGCCTTAGGAATTTCTCCCCAAGTAAGCCTTCCTACACTAACACTCACAAGAACTTTAGCGAGAGAAGCTCTCAACTTTGTATTGCTTCTTGAAAATGAGAGATGATAAAATGAGGGGGAGGAGACCCCATTATATACAAGTATCGGGCTGACCGTATCCGTAGATCTCACCCCGATCTCAACGGTCGAGATCGTACTCCCCCAACTACCCCACCTACCGCATTTATTATGGAAGGATACAATTTTAGTAGGAAATCTAATTTTTTTTCATTTTCTTCTCTTTCCTTTTTTTTTTCTTTTTTTCCTATTTCCCTCTACCAATCAGGCCATGTCGACCAGGCAGAGAAAAATAGGAAAAAAAAAACAGAGAGAGAGAGAATCAATGTGAACTCGCGCCAACAACATTTTACCCAACTCTTTTTCAGGCATTTGTAAGAAAAGTAGTAATATGTATCCGTCCGTATCACGTACCTGTTTAATTTCCGTTCGTCCATGGCTAACAGAGCTGGCATTGTTTAACAATGAGATTATTTTATTTTAGGGTCAATGCCACCCAAAACTTCAAATTGGTACGTCCGAACTACTCCAAACTAATGTTTTATCTCAAATTAATTTTCGCATCACAACAAATCCCACGCCCATAAGCAAGGATCTATCGGTTTGCGGAAAATGCGGCCTAATAAATGTGTGCCACATTTACTCCAAAATTAGGTTAATTCTCGAATTTTTTGGGGAAAATATGGCACAAGTAAACCAATTTGGATTTTTTGTAACATAAAAAATAATTTGGGATAAATGAGTGCATTGATTTAAAATTAAATACGACATTGCCATACCGTTTTGAGAGTTTTTGTGTCACAAAAATTAATTTGAAGTAAATGTGACTCAAAGATACCGGTTTAGAATTTTTGTTAGTATTAACCTTCTATTTTATTTTATTTTGTTGGCCGGGATTGAAATTGATTGAACGCCTACCTCTCCACATTCATTTGTTGCCATCAAGAGCGAAACAGGTTTGGGGAAAATGTGGCCCGATATATGCGTGCCACATTTACCTCAAAATTGTGGTAATTCTCGAATTTTTAGCGTTAAATATGGCATGGATAAACCGATTTGGAATTTTTTGTAATATAAAAAACAAATGTGTGCATCAATTTAAAAGTAAATGCGACATTGCTACTTTGAGAGTTTGTGTCACAAAAATTAATTTATTGTAAATGCGACTCGAATATATTAGTTTAGAATTTTTATTGGTATTAATCTTTTCTTTTATTTTATTTTGTGGGCCGGGATTGAAAATGATTGAACGCCTACCACTCCGCATTCATTTGTTGCGATCAAGAGCAAAATGGGTTTTGAAAAGTCGGGCCTCATGTCACACTTATCTCGAAAAGTAAAAACTATTTCTGTACGACTGATTTTGACGTGAACATTTTCAATACGCCTCGTTAGAATAACGGGGAGTACTGCCCAACCAACGATGGCCAACTAGCTATACTGTTTCGTACCGCACACAAAGAAAAAATTACAATCACAACCATTTATTCGGAACCTTATTTTTATCGGAGATCCCAAATTAGGATGTCTCTTTGGCCAAAATATATAATGAGAAGCTGAATCTAGCTACTGCGAAACCGTAAAGTACATCGGAAACCGTAAATTGTGCTCGCTCAACAAGTGCTCAGGGTCACTCCTCAACAAAATCCTTCTCACAAATTTTTATTACCACGCAAAAGCCCACGAGTCTGGGAGCATCATCTTCCACATCTGAATACACAGCAAATTCAACGAATTCAAAGCCCAATATTGACCATCAGAAATTGCGTAACGGTTACCTGCCGGAGGAAGCCCCAACTCCAACCAAGATGCGCCGCCGCCAAACCCCCCGCCACCGCACTCCGGTGGCTGACGGCCAAGGACGGCCCGGCAGGGGCGACCTGAGAACACACATCAAACGCAATGCACGGAGGCGACGGCATACACCGGGCGCCGACCGACGCACGCGCGCCCGCATGTGATCTCAGGTCGCTCCTGTAGGGCCCTCGGCCAAACTCCGCACTCGAGCCCCCGGGCAATCTCCGCCGGATGCACCACGCAACGACGCTGTTCTTTTCCGGTGGTGGATTCCTTCGAACTTTAATAGGCGAGGACCCAAAAAAGATCTGGTACTGCGCCAAAGTGTACTGCAAATTTGACCGCCTGCGGTGCGGATTCCCACGCGTTCAAGCAAAGTCACGAGTACAACTGTGTACTTTCCAACAACATTGTACTGGAAAATCAACGAATCTTTCGTATGCAAATAATGCAAGAAATCCGCGCTAGTTGCAGTACAAATGTGCGTACGAGTGCGATGGCGAAACGATGCTCGTGGGATTTTCGCAGTATCAGTTCAGATCGTACATGTACGTGCGCCCCCATCGAGTTCGAATCGTACGTGCCCGCGCGAGAAATTGCCCGCGATGGTTGCCTGCTTGCCTTTTGCAGCACCGAATCGTACGTTGCCTAATGAAAAGATCGGAGATGACTTTCCCTTCCGGGGAAATGGAAAATTTCCCGAAAATGGCTGACGATTTCGTCTACTTTCGTCTTTTTTTTTTTTTTTTTTTTTTCTGTTTCTCAATTATTCATCGAGATAACAATATTAATGGTCTCTGAACTTTTGCTCAATGAACAATGTGATTCCTAAACTTTTTATTTATTTAATGTGGTCTGTGAATTTTATTTTAATGTGCAATGTGGTCCCTGAACTTTTAATTTATTCGATATGATTCTTGAACTTTATGAAAACGTTCAATATTATTTTTTCATTGATTTATGTTCGGGGATAACATTGAACATTTTCATGTAATTTGAGGACTTAAATTGAATATGTACCAAAAGTCTAGGGACCACATTGAACAATTTAAAAGTTCATGGACAATATTGCACATTGTGCCCAAATTTGCTCCTCATACCAAAGTTCGAAGTCAGAGGATCGATTTTAGTTCGTGAATCATAGTATTTCGCCAATTGAGACTGATCAAAGACGGTGTGGTCCACGGGTCTGTTTACCCACGTAAATGGTTCGTCGAGATCATCCATCTTCAAACATGATATGCAGTAGACGCAAATGCATCGATTGAAGGACTATGGAGATGATGAAAGCAATGGCTTGTGAAGTGCACCTCGAATTTGAGAACTTGGGCTGTTTATGAAGCATTTACATGGCCAGTCAGTTCACATGACTGGCGAGGCCCATGAAACGAAACCCATCTGGGTCCAGTCCAAATGTTTATAGTCGTGGAATAATTCAATCTTTTTAATGGGATGCTCTTTTACGATTTAGGAAAAAAGCGGTCAAAAACTTTGAATCTTTTGAATTTATCCTGAACTTTTTTTTGTTACGTCAAAAGTCCTAAACAATGCCTGCTGCGACATGTTTGACCTAAAATTTTTCTCGTGACATCAAAAACCTCAAATTCTGTACTTGTGAAATACATTCACCCTTCATTAGATGATTTTCCGGCCAAAACAACATCATTTTTTTTTATAATTGTTTTAAGTGGGTTTTAGTCTGGAGTTTTTTTAGTGGTTTTTTAAAAATTTATTTCTTATTTTTCCACCACATTCTCAAAGCTTGATTATGTGGTCACTTATCATGAAAATTTGATGAAACGTAAGTAATTTTCTGAAAGATTGGATGGTGGTAGTGGGACACTTGGCATGGGGTGAGAGACGCGACGAATGGGGCATTGGGACCCCTAAACAAGAGTTGAGAGAAAACAAGAGTCTTTCTATCAATGGAGCCAATTATAAGTACAAATCACATGGCTTTGAACTAATAATTTCGAAGAGGAAAAAAAATGGGTTGGAGATAAAGATATTAAAAAGCCTGCCTCCACTTTAGGAGACAAAGCATCTATTCGACTGGTCAGCTCATGAATTTTGGGGCCTTATTAGCTATTTTTCTCCCCACTTTTTTTTGTTAAGAGAGAACGAGAGAGTTGTACACCATGTCATGAAATGTCGAGAAAATTCCAAATAAAAATTTGAAGTGCCTTTATTTTCTGAATAAGGGTTTGAAGTGTCTTTATTTTCTCAAATAAGGACTTGAAGTGGATTTTGTCTCAAATAAGAATCTGAAGTGGGCATATCAGTCTCAAATAAGGACCTAACCTCACTGGCCAAATGGTATTTTCGTCTTTAACTTTTTTGAATATTTTTCTTTTTTTTTTCTTTCTTTTTTTCCTTTTCTGTTTTTTTCTTTTACTTTTCTTTTTTTTTCCTCTCTTGGCTGGGGCTGGTGACCTCCGTTGGCCTCACCGGCCTCAGGCGAGGGCCGCCCTCGCCAGCCTCACCGGATCTGGCAAGGGTCGCCCTCACTCGCCTAATCCAGGCGAGGGTGGCCTTGCCCGACGCGGGCAAGGGCGACCCTTGCCCGACATGGGCCGGGTGGCCCTCGCCCGACGCCAACGAGGGCGAGGGTCGCCCTTGCCCACCTAGCCCAAGCGAGGCGACCCTCGCCCGACGTTGGCGAGGGCGACCCTCGCCTGACGCCTTCAAGGGTGGCCCTTGCCTGAGGCTGGCGGTGGTCGCCGACCAGGTGCAGTGATGGCTGGGAGAGAAGAAGAAAAAAGGAAAAAGAAAAAAGAAGAAGGAAAGTAAAAAAAATTTTAAAAATATACTTATAATTTTTTTGACTAAAATACCCCTTCTCCGACGACGGAATAGTCACCGGCTGGCCAAAGGTCTTTGTTTGAGACGATTTGACCACTTGAAATCCTTATTTGAGACAATTTGTCCATTTCAAGTTATTATTTGAGATAATATCCACTTCATGTCCTTATTTAAAAAAAAATGATAGCACTTAAAGTCATTTTTTGGAATTTTCCTTGAAATGTTTTTCTTGGCGGGGACAATGGCATCGCAAATACTTAAACTTTGATCCGTTTGATGATAAGAAGTTTTCGGTTTCTTTCTCTTGATTCGATTGGGTAACTCGGCTTTTCAAATTTGGCTTGATGCGAGGCATTCCGTTGGATGGATTGTCGTGTCGTGTGATTTTGTTCGTGGCTCGCTTACTTTGCAAGGGTTAAGCTCGATTGCTGGCATGACTCGCTTGCCGAGAGAAAATTATGTAGTCTCCGTTTTGGTATTGGGTGATGAGGAAAGAGGGATCATTTCAAGAGACAACACCCGATGCTACTATGGACAGAAAACAATTGATGTCTATTTAGCGGATTTAGGATCTAGTTTGGCATTTTCCTTTTAAGGATTTTAAAGAATGTCTCGCATTGACTCACAATTGAAAAGTCAAGGAACTCGATTGAAAAAAAAAAAGTTTGGATAACTCGATTATAGAATGGCCAAAAGTTTAAATACTTGAAGTGTCATTACCCTTCGATTTTATAGTTAGCTCCTTGTGCAATATCATGCGAAGTTCATTTCTCCAAGTCTATCAATAACAGTACATACCTATTTCTAGGGATCACATGTACACTCATGAGACTATATGTCATCTGGAACGTTTGGAATTGGCTTCCTAAATTCTGTAAATAGACTCTGTGGCTCATATGGTATCATTTGCTAAAGAAAAAGAGCGATTTTTAGCGAGAAAATTATCCAAAAAGTCATAAACTTATCGTGCGGCGGCCAATTCAATCATAAACTTTTTAATTGTAACGATTTAGTCCTAAACCTTTTGACAACTTATCAATTTAGTCCAAACCTTTCAATTATGTCAATTTAGTCCTAAATATTTTAATGATTTGCCAATTCAGTCCTGGCGGCCAATTTTGAATAAAAATTGCTAATATGACGGTCTAGTCAGTGATGGTCGCCCTACATGGCATAGCCAGCCTTGACATTGACAATTTTTATAATCTCAAATTTTTTTTCCTTTTCTCTTTTTTTTTCTTTTTTTCTTTTTCCCCTTTTTTCCTCCACCGCCCATCACCGAGCCTTACCTCTATTGGTCTCATGCGAGGGCCGCCCTTGAGCGAGGGACGATCGGGTTTGGGCTGGTGAGGATCGCCTTGCCTAGCCTAGCAAAGGTCGATGGAGGGAAAAAGGAAAAAGAAAAAGAAAAGGAAAAGGAAAAAATTTTAAAAATTATAAAAATTGTCCACATTAACGTCGACACTGACCAGACCACCATGTCAGCGATTTCCTGCCAAAATTGACCGGAATGACTAAATTGATAAATCGTTAAAAGGTTTAGGACTAAATTGGCATAATTGAAAAGTTTATGACTAAATTGGCATAATTGAAAAGTTTATGACTAAATTGACCATTGTACTATAGGTATAGGACTTTTTTGGATAATTTTCGCGATTTTAAGCTTATTTTGTTTGAAATATTGATTCCACATTAAAAACGGTTGAAGTCTTACCGTTATTATTTAGCTAAGGTATCATCGCCTTAGAAGAAGAGGATTACGACCCTAAAGACTTCTAAAATTGCCCGACGATACAAATATTATCCTGATCGCTTCTTAGGAAAATGGAAGGTTAAGAGATTTGAATTTGGACGATAAAGATGACCTCTTAATCACATCTTAAAAAGTTATAATCATACAAGGGGATGCACCAAGAGAGTTTGCGTGACATCGACAGAATGCGCTGTCAGCCACTATCTTGAGCGCACCCAGTCGGAGCGATCGCAACAACAGTCGAAGAATAAAAAAAAGCTTCTTTTAGCTTTTTCAAACATTAACGAATCTCGATAAGATAACGCGTATATGCGGTATTTCAAAATAAAAAAAGGTGCTTATCAAGTGATTTTGATTAGTGTCCATATTCTTAACAATGGTCCCTCTATCAAATTATCCAATAACATGACCCGGGACGGGATTCATTCGGGCTGGCGGCGATCGCCCACCCGTGGGGGCCGTTCCCTCCGCATAGCCGTCGTCGAGCCACGTCGCCACCATTATGCCCACCAACTCAAAACGATCACACGAAGTGTCGCCTTTCTTCGTGTCAATCGCTAATAATTATAAAAATTGAAAGCACGCTTCTTTTGTGCCACGGTCGAAGTGGGTCTGCCATCAGCGGTCTCAATTTCTCGCCCCATCCCCTTCGCAATCGTTGGCAATGTATATTCATATTTTTCTAGATAAATAATGACATAAATAATCCATGAAATTTACAATAAAATTTCCGAACCTTTAGTTTATTTAACGTGATTCATGAACTTTACCCCGATGTATAATATGATCGTGAAACTTCTAATTTGTTCAATGTGGTCCATGAATTTTTTGTATATGTTCAATTTAGTCATTAAATTTTATGAAAATGTTCAATATTATTCTTCCATAAATTTAAGTTTCGGGACAATGTTGAACGTTTTCATATAGTTCGGGGACTAAATTAAATATGTATAAAAAATTTATGGACCACATTCAATAATTTAAAAGTTCAGGGACGATACTGCATATTAGGCTAAAGTTCAGATATCGCATTGAACAAATTTAAAATTTCAGGGACTATATTGCATAATGAGTCAAAGTTTAGGGGTCATTTGTGCCATTTTTCTTCCTCTCTCTCAACAGCAAAGGAAGGTATAAAGTTCTCCAAAAATAATAATAAAATACACGACCCACGACAGAAATTTTCCCCCAAAAGATTCTTTCGAGATACGATCGTCTAAGGAACCGGTCCCCATCTTGCAATGTCGGCAACGTGTTAAATATGTATGTATGTATGTATGTATGTATTGCATTATTGTACTCTGGTTCTTAGCTTGCAAAAATATTAAAAACAGTCGGTGGTGGGATTGCACCTAAATTCTACTGTGCCTCGCCATGATGCTTCCAAGCACTTCTTTTGGGAGTCCCACGTTAGGAATTCAAAGATCTTGGAGACAAGGGAGATACGGGTCTCTGCACCTGGACTTGCTTTTACTTCATCTTACATTTTCCCCTGAGATTATTCATGTGCTTAGAAAAGGACATCGGCTCTATCAGCATATGCTCTAATGGATTCACTCAATCGCAGCCTGTCGGATCTTTACTGCACCTCGTATGGATTTCTTGCCGATGTAAAGGTCCGAATCAATTACGACTTACGCACTTGTTGACGTCGCCCCGGTTCATATACGACTCGGTGGGTATTTAGACCCTTTTCCAAGACTGTACACACGTATATCCTAAGCGGTTTTAGACAGGTCGAGCTTGAGAATTAAATAGGTCTGGACGGGTTTGGACGAACGAGCTTGGAAGGGCTTGGAAGCCGCAAAGCACATGATCACCTCTTGTTTAGACCATGTCCGACAGAAAACACTCGTGATTATGGAAGGTTTTGTACACTGTAATTGATTAATGATACTGCTCACCATGTTTATAGCATTTCAGACCATAAAATTCTTTTTGTATTTGAAAGTTGGCTGCTTCGACCGCAGCCAATTTAGCTTTATTATAAAGGAAGGACCTCTTCTAGTTTAGCTTCCTTGATTCTGGACTTAGTACTAGGCAATTTCCTGTATAAGTTTCTCTTCTTTGATGTGCCAAACGCGTGCCAACGTTTGACACATTCTGAAGTTATTATACTAATGAGGCCCTACTTGTGTGGTGGGTGGGTGTCATCAAGCCAATAAGATCCCACATATCTGCAAGATCATCCAATAAGATTCCACGTTTTTGCAAGATCATCATACTGTAATTTCTCTTGATAAAGGAACTCATCACGGCACGAGAAAGAGAGCAAGTTTCCTCCTAGCCATTTGCTCTATCCACTCATCTTGTTCCGGCTCATCATTTGTGCCTAACTTTTGATATCTGACCCTACAAGGGGGCATTCGATTCAACCTTCTCTGTGATGCTTGATTGCTTCTAAATCACCTCCTCCCTCTCCTTCCTCTTCCTATTATTGAAGTCCCACCCTCTCAAGATTCTCTCTTCATGGACATGCGTCTGCGTCTCTCTCTTCCTCAGTCACCAGCATAGTCCTACTCCTGTTCAGCCCCCGAGATTGTCCACGAAGGAGAAGATGAGTCCAGCTTCAGAAGCAGACAATGCAGAGGAGTCCAAAGAAGGAGCGTCATCGCTGTTGGACTTGCCAGAGCTTGCTCTGGAATGCATTCTCGAGAAGCTCCCCCCAGATGGGCTCTTGAGCATGTCTGGTGTGTGCACAGCTTTGAGAGATAGGTGCAGAAGCGACTATTTCTGGGACAAGCACATGAAGCAGAAGTGGGGCAGAGTGATTGGTCCATCAGCTTATAAGGTGTGGCAATTGTGCCTTGCTTCAAGAAGGGATAATGGCGATTCAAATCAAGGGAAGCAAAAGGGGTTGTTGAGGTTGTTTTCTCTTGTTTGGCCTTGTTCATGGGCTGGTGAGAAAATCAATATCGGTCAAGACCAGACATGTTCTCTGCCACATGATTCATCGGTCATGTCTTGGTATATTGCACTTGAGACTGGGAGGTTCTGGTTCCCTGCTCAAGTCTATAACCGTGAGGTATTGGATGCTGCTTTTCCATATGGTATCCTTCTGGTTTTGATTTCGAAATATCCAAGGTTGTTGATATACTTGGGTTTGCTTATGCAAGTCTGTTAGATTCAGTCGTCTTGCTCATTCAAGTATTCTTCTGTGCAAACTGCTGTCCTATTTTGCCCTCCGATTCAGTTGAATCTTCTGTTCTGTTTTTCTCTGTGATCTTCTCTTAGAGTTTTTTGTTGTTCCAATTTATGCAGAATGGGCATGCTGGGTTTATGTTGTCTTGCTATGATGCTGAGCTCAGCTATGATTTTCGAACCGATGCCTTCAGAGCCAGGTATATTGCTGATGATATATACCTCCTTTAAACATGTCCATGAATCGTTCCAACGCTTGCTTAATCGACATATTCTTACTGTATAATACTAGTATGGGTACTATCACAATCTTGTTGGTTCTTGTGTTCCTGGAAGATTTAATTCCTTAGTTCATTTTTTAGAGGCTTGAGTGTTTGGATCATCTGAACTTTGGTTCTTGCAGGTATCCCCCACATGGCAGGAGGGCGATTGCGCTGGAGACCGGGGTGACATGGGAAAGGCTGAGGTCCCCTCCGGTCGATACTTCTCCACATGACCTTCACCTGTCTGATTGTTTGAAGGATCTGTGCCCCGGTGACCACGTGGAGATTCAGTGGAGAAGAAACAAAGAGTTTCCATATGGTATGTTGTTTCATCAAAAGTGATAGTTTTTCAATCTCGCTGCATCGACTTTCTGCCGAGAAGTTCAATCTATATTTTAGTAGATTGCCTGGGCTCTTTTCATTTGATCATTCATTCTTTTCTTGATTGGGTCTTTGTCACTGGTAATTGAAGTAAACATGGCTTTTGGAAGAAACTTATAACAAGAAAAAAGCAATCCTATTTTTAGCTAGTATACTTAATGAGAAGACAAGGACAAACGATCTGAATGCATGTCTATGTTGTGCCAAACTCCATCAAAGAGGAGCTATTCAACCTTCATCATGGTACCACACTACCCTGGTAGTTGAAATTAAAATTCGAATTCATTATACCTAATTCTGAGATACTTGCTCTAATTGGATTGGTTCCATCAGGCTCTTCAAGTCTAAATCCTCACACTTGGTCAATGCAGTACAGCATTCAACTGCATCTTGTCTTACCGAGACAGATTCTGAATGGCAATGTACATGACTGAATGTCGTTACACATACTGCAGGTTGGTGGTATGGCGTCGTCGGTCATCTGGAATCGTGTGACAGGAACGAAAATTACTGTCGTTGTCTTAGCAGCGGTGAGTTCATCATTTAGCCCTCTTTTTCTGCAGTGGAACCCGATTCTATGTGTTGGCAAAATCAGCACCAGACACCACCACTTCTCAAAATGACCGCTTTGAAAACAATATCTAGAGAAAGAAACTATTAGAGGAGGAAAAATTTTTCAATGAAATCTTTCATTAAATGTGAGAAGCTTTCAAAGATGTGGATGAGATGATGATCACAAAGCTAAAACTTTCAGAGAAATAGACCGATGTCTCAGCTGCCTCGGTAGCTTTCTTGATTCCCATCTTTCCAATGTATGGACCACCCACCATTTTGGGCGAGTTTTGATTGGTGCTCTAGACAAATGGTTATCAGCGTGTCATGCTTTCCACCAACAACGTGATAAGTTGTGTCTAAGTGGAATATCAATGGCCGACCATGTCGAAAGATCTCAACCTTTTTCTCTCTTTAAGACTCTTGTTTCTACTCAAGTTGGAATCTCGTGGTTTTGTGGGGCTGATATTTTTATAATGATCGGTATAGTTTTCTTCGATGTACCAGCGTCATACGTCATCCAAACAGATCCTAAGGAACTGATTCTTTCTCATAAGATCCAATAAACTGATAAGAACATAAGAAAGCTGACCAATTCACTATCTTTGCTAGGCATTTTGTAAGAATTTTGGTCACGATAAACGAAGGGTGCATTCTGGGTCGAAATGCATTCAGAAACCATGCTTAATTATTTCAATCTGCTTACAGTGATGCTCCATAAAACAATACCGCTTCATCTGTTAGCTCTTTACGGATGACCTGACAGTTGGTTGATGATTTGGCAAACAGATGCTGTGGTTCTGGAATTTAATCAGTATTCAGCAGGGTCGCGGTGGAGTCGCACAACCATAGACAGGAGAAACCACAGGGAGGAAGGAAACGAGGCGGACGGATTCTACGGAGGAATCAGAAAGCTCAGGACCGACGACGACGAGATTTCCGTGTGGAAGCGGCTCTGGCCAACTGAATTATTAGAATAGGTTTTGTTCCCAACTGCCTGCTTCGAGCAACAGGGCGAGAATAAGTCATGGAACGGTTCCCCATTCAAGGAGAGGTCTGTCGAATCTTTTACTCGGCAAAAGTGGCTCAGTAGAAGCTGAAACTCAGTCAGTTGGATGAATGTGAAAGTATTTTTTCCCCCTCTCCACGTATGATTGAAGATTAATTTGCATCTCAGCAATTCTGACGAATTGCTTTCTTTATTGATGTACATATGATATAGCACAGACAAATGAAGGTATAAAGTGTGACTTTTCCCTACTCTTGAACATTTGCTTGTTTCAATCCCATAAAAACGAATCAAACTGGCAAAAATTGAACGAAAAGTAAATGAACAGTAGGGGAAGTGAAGCTTGTGTTAGAAATATGGGATAAATTGATGGGTGAATGAATGAGAAATTGATGCTCAAAGAACACCCTTGAGTTGGAAGTGGGAAGTGGAAAAACACTAGTCCCACATTGGAAAAGAAAGAAGGCTATGTAGTGCTTTATATACAGTTACACTCATTTGAAGTGGTAACTATCATAGCACAAATACTATGTCTCGTGCGCAGGCGCAGAGGGGTGCAAATCCGACGCTCGACAAGCTGAAACTTGGGCCCGAGCGCACGTCCCATGTACACGATTACAGGACCGAAAAGTGGGCCTCGCGACAAGCCCAATTTTGCCTTCTGATTTATTTTTCAACTCAAGCTGTTACAAATTTCAATTTGTAACGTATGATTAATAGCAGGTTAATGGCGTCATTACGGAATTAATTATATATAACGGCAAGCTGTTACAGAATTAATTATATAACGGCAATCGTTACGGAATTAATTATATAACGGCAATCTGTTACGGAATTAATTTTATTACGTAATTAATTTTATAACGGCAAGCTGTTATGAAATTAATTTTATAACGGCAGATTTAATCGGCCGTTATTCCCGATGCGTATTAATTTTGTAACGACCGATTTAATCGGCCGTTATTATTCCCGAAATTCTCTCCCCTCTGTTCTTTTTTTTTTATCGAAATCATTCTTCCTCTGTTTAAAAAATTTTCTCTGCATTTGCACTGTTTTTCAGTAGTGTTCATTTCTAGTTTGTTCAAGTTCGCCGGAAGCTTGGAAGTGCCGTGATCTCTTCTTTGCTGTCAACCGTTGTATCCTGGGAAACAGACGTTCACGAAACCTCAATCGTGTACTGGAGGGAACGAATCTGTTTTAAGGAAACTGTGTCGAACACAGGCCTCGGTATCCATTTGTATCGATTCCAATTCTATTATTGTAATTTCATTTCTTTACAATTCTGTATTGTTCGTAATATTTTTACTAATGCCAATTTGAATTTACTGCAACAATCTTAAAACAGATTCGTGGTTTTAAAATTCAAATGGCTACTGGAAAGGAAGTTGTGGATGTGGCTGCTGACAACATCACCAAAGACTCTACCAATGCCTCAGCTGTCCAACTGCCTGGCTCATCCTCTGTTCCTTCGGCGGTTTCTATCCACCATGGTGAGAAACCTGAAAAGTTAGACAGATCGAACTTTAAAAAGTGGCAGCAAAAAATGCTGTTTTATTTAACAACTTTGAATCTTGCGAGATTCTTGACTGAGGAAGCTCCTAAGTTATCCGATGGAGAAACGGATAAGCAAGCCTTCAACGCTGTTGAAGCATGGAAGCACTCTGACTTCCTGTGTAGGAACTATGTCATGAATGGCTTACATGACTCATTGTACAATGTCTATTGTGCAAAAAAGACGGCAAAGGAGTTATGGGAAGCCTTGGACCGGAAATATAAAACAGAGGATGCCGGAGCAAAGAAATTTGTTGTCGGTCGATTACTTGACTATAAAATGGTGGATTTTAAGACTGTGATCAGTCAAGTGCAAGAAATTCAAGTGATCTTGCGTGAAATTCAGCCTGAAGGAATGAACTTGAGTGAAACCTTCCAAGTGGCCGCTATTATTGAAAAGCTACCTCCTGGGTGGAAGGATTTCAAGAACTATCTCAAGCACAAGCGAAAGGAAATGAACTTGGAAGAGCTGATTGTTAGACTTCGAATCGAAGAAGACAATAGAGGATCTGAACGCAAAGGGTTCAATCCTACTACAGCTAAGGCAAATGTTGTGGAGCTTAGGCAAAGTCACAAGAACAAGAAGATTGCCAAGCCAAAGTTGGGACCAAAAGGAGGAGTTTCCAAGAACAAGTTTCAAGGAAAATGCTTCAACTGTGGCAAGATGGGGCATAGATCTATGAATTGCAGACTTCCGAAGAAGAAGAATTATGAGGCAAATATGGTGAATGGCATCGCTCAAGACGTGTCAAACATAAACCTTTCTGCAATGGTTTCTGAAGTAAACTTAGTTGGGTCCAATCCGAAGGAATAGTGGATTGACACTGGTGCCACTAGGCACATATGCTCTAATAAGGACTTGTTCACAAATCTTGAACCAATTAATGGGGAAAAGGTTTTTATGGGAAACTCTGCCTCTTCTGCTGTCGAAGGCCAAGGGAAGGTGTTGCTGAAGATGACCTCTAGAAAAGAGCTGACTCTAAACAATGTCCTATATGTGCCAGAAATCCGAAAGAACCTGATTTCTGGGTCTCTGTTGAACAAGCATGGATTTCGTATGGTGTTTGAGTCAGATAAAGTTATTTTATCTAAATCCGGAATGTATGTGGGGAAGGGATATGTATCTGATGGGCTTTTTAAGCTCAATGTAATGACAATTATCAATAAAGATAATAAGTCTTCCGTTTATTTGCTTGAGTCTTCCAATTTATGGCATGGTAGACTAGGACATGTTAATTATGATACATTGCGTAGATTAATTAACTTGGAACATATACCTTCATTCCAAATTAATTCAAAACATAAATGTGAAATTTGTGTTGAGGCAAAATTAACGAAATCATCATTTCAAACAATTGAAAGAAACACCGAACCCCTTGAATTAATTCATAGTGATGCATGCGATTTGAAATTCATTCAAACGAGAGGTGGTAATAAATATTTTATTACTTTTATCGATGATAACACCAAATACTGCTATGTGTATTTGCTTAAAAGCAAAGATGAAGCCTTAGAGAAATTTGTTCTCTATAAAAATGAAGTTGAAAATCAACTCAATAAGAAAATTAAAAGATTGAGAAGTGATAGAGGTGGCGAGTATGAAGTACCAATTGGTGAATTTTGTGCACAACACAGAATTATACATGAAGTAACTGCGCCTTACTCTCTTCAATCAAATGGTGTTGCTGAACGTAAAAATCGCACATTGAAAGAAATGATGAACGCGATATTACTAAATTCAGGTTTGCCTCAAAATATGTGGGGAGAAGCTATTTTGTCAAGCAATTACCTTTTAAATAAGGTACCTCGAAAGAAAGAGGATAAAACCCCTTATGAGTTATGGAAAGGTAGGAGACCATCCTACAAACATTTACGAGTGTGGGGTTGTCTTGCAAAAGTGGTGGTTCCAACACCAAAGAAGACAAAGATAGGTCCTAAAACGGTGGACTGTATCTTTATAGGCTATGCACATAATAGTAATGCATATCGATTTCTTGTACATGAATCTAAAATTCCAGATATACACAAGAATACGATCATGGAATCTAGGAATGCATCATTCTTTGAAAATGTATTTCCTTATAAATCCAATGATGAATCAAGTTCATCTAAACGAAAGAATGAAACTATGAATGAAGATAGTCATGATTCGGCTCATGAAATTCATGACTCAGATCATGAACTAGAACCAAGACGTAGCAAAAGAGCAAGAGTGGAAAAATCTTTTGGAAATGATTTTCTAACTTATTTGTTAGAAAAGGAACCATTAAATTATGCAGAAGTTATGAATTCTTCTGAGGGACCTCTATGGAAAGAAGCAGTAAAAAGTGAAGTTGATTCTATTTTGCAGAATCATACTTGGGAGCTAGTGAATCTTTCTCCTGGTTGTAAGCCTTTAAAGTCCAAATGGATTTTTAAAAAGAAAATGAAAGCAGATTGCTCCATTGATAAGTATAAAGCCAGACTTGTGATCAAAGGATACAAACAACGAGAAGGCTTAGATTACTTTGATACTTATTCTCCTGTGACGAGAATAACCTCCATTAGGATGATAATTGCAATTGCAGCATTGCGAAATCTAGAAGTACATCAAATGGATGTAAAAACAGCTTTCCTAAATGGTGATTTGGATGAAGAAATCTACATGGAACAACCTGAGGGTTTTATAGTTCCAGGACAAGAAAGGAAAGTCTGTAAATTGGTGAAATCATTGTATGGCCTAAAACAAGCACCAAAGCAGTGGCATGAAAAGTTTGATAATGCAATGATTACCAATGGTTTTAAGATTAATGAATGTGATAAATGTGTCTACATTAAAGAGACAACAAATGGCTATGTCATTTTGTGTCTTTACGTAGATGACATACTAATTGTTGGTAGTGATGATAAAATGATCAAATCTACCAAGTATATGTTGAATTCAAGATTTGACATGAAATATATGGGACCTACTGATATGATTTTAGGAATTAAAATCACAAGAACGTCAGAAGGTCTTATTTTAAACCAGTCACACTATGTGGACAAGATTCTTGAAAAATTCAACATGAATGATTCTGGTATTGCTAGAACACCATTAGACAATAGTCTTCATCTGTCCAAGAATAGAGGAGAGGGTATTTCTCAAGTAGAGTACTCTAGAGTTGTTGGAAGTCTAATGTACTTAATGAGTTGTACTAGACCAGACATTGCCTATACGGTTAGTAAATTGAGTAAATATACGAGCAATCCAAGTGCTGACCATTGGAAAGCAATAGTGAGAATATTTAGGTACTTACGATATACTCGGAATTATGGCCTGCATTATACCAGATACCCAGCTGTTCTAGAAGGATATAGTGATGCGAACTGAATATCTAATATAAAAGACTCAAAATCTACTAGTGGATATGTATTCACACTAGCAGGAGTAGCCGTATCTTGGAAATCCTGTAAACAAACTGTTATAGCCAGATCCACAATGGAATCTGAATTTAATAGCTTTAGATAAATGTGGTGAAGAGGCTGAATGGCTACGCCATTTCTTAGAGGATATTCCAAAATGGCAAAAACCTGTGCCACCAATAAGTATACATTGTGATAGTCAATCTGCGATTGGAAGAGCACAGAGTAATATGTATAATGGTAAGTCTAGACATATACGTCGTAGACATAATACCATTAGACAACTACTCTCAACAAGAATTATCTCTATTGACTA